GAGGTGAAGTATAAGCCGGGAATACAGGATGATTTGGCTGACGCGTTATCGCGTAGACCTGACTATGATCTTGCTCATCTCACTGTTGTGAGTTCGTCAGTCACTGAACGTATCCGTGTGGCGTATGCACGCGATGAGGCGTGTGTTGCCATTCTGCAGGAGCTGGGTAGCGCAGAGTTTGAAAACTCTAAGGTAAAGCTGTCACCACGTAATCGTGCCAGATTACATCGTTATGCACTGACCGATGGTCTGTGGTACTATAGTACAGGGTCGGATGACCAGCCTCGAGTTGTGGTACCTCATGATGAGGACCTCAAGTATCAGATACTTTATGAGGCTCATAATACCCCTTGGTGGTCATTTAGGTCATGGGAAAGCCTACAGCTCGGTGAGCATCCATTATTGGTGGCCCAAGTTGTACAAATGGGTTGGTACCTACGTACGCACGTGTGAAACGTGTCAAAGGGTAAAACCCTCGCCTAATATGGCTGTGCCTTTGGCGAGTTTACCTGTGTGAGAAGTGTGAAGGAGAGAACCCCCCCTCGGTGTGGGTTGGGCTTTGGGGGGGTTTCCTCGGGGTTGTGGCAGTCCATCAGTATGGGCTTTGTGTTTGGCCCACCGCGTGATGCGGCAGGCAACACTGGGATTGTAGTCTTTGTTCACCGGCTAAGCAAAATGGCTCATCTAGCGGCCGTGCCGGACTCCATTGATGGAGAAGGACCAGCAAAGCTGTTTTCATGGATCGTGTGTTTCGACAACACGGATTGCCTGTGGCAACCATCTCGGATAGAGACCCCGTTTTACGGGTAAGTTTTGGATGTCCGTCTCTAAAATGCTTGATACTCGACTGAACATGTCCACGGCGGATCATCCACAGACCGATGGTCAGACAGAACGCGTCAGCCGCGTTATTGGCGATATGCTTCGAAGTGTTTGTTGCTGAAACACCCAAGCAATGGAGCACGATGCTCCCTCTGGTAGAGTTTGCCTTGAACATCGCGGTACATACCTCGACAGGCTTCACCCCTTTCTATGAGATTGGATTGGTCAACCCTCGCGCTCCTTCAACGCTACCCCCTGCCACACCAGGGCTTAGTGGAAGAGCGATAGCCGAAGGCTTGGCTGATATCAGCCTTGTTGCGATGCGCAGAAAGGTGAAAGCGTTTCTGTCAACGCGTTTTGACGTATTACGTCGCGTCAAAGACGCTATGGCTGAAAGCCAGGATGTTCAGAAGGAACACGCGGATGTCAAAGGCAGAAAGAATGAACATGAGCTCAAAGTGGGAGACTTGGTTTTATTAAATGCTAGGAATTTACCGACACGTGCAATGTCTGCGGTATATAAAACCAAACTGCGTCCACGCTTTATTGGACCTTTCAAGGTCATAAGCAAGAAAGGTTTAGCCGTATACTCTGAACCTTCCAAAGAAGATGCGAACACACCCTGTGTCCTAGTGGGCTTGCTAAAGCCATACCTCAACCCTGCCTCGGTGGACTTTGGTGGTTGTCCCCAAATCCCGGCCGAAGGAGGCGGGTATTACGGCACCGGAGGTGCATATGGACACCGAAGGCGTACCAAAAGATCGTGGATCGATGGGTCACCGACCCCCGCCAACGTTGACTGATGAGCTGGATCATCAACCGTCTCACGTCGAGCGTATATTGGCGCGACGTCTTCATCAGGGTCACACCCAGTATCTGGTAAAGTGGAGGGGTACCCTCAGTCGTATGACTCATGGGAGTACGAGGTACCCCTACGGCAAGACTGCCCGGACGTCGTTGAAGCTTTTTGATCGGGAAGATCAGAAGCGGCGATATCAGTCGACCGGATGCTTCTTAGCACTAAGTGCTGTGGAAGCAAGGCCAGTAGTTAGGTTTCACCTCTGAACTTCTTGGGAAGCAGTTGCTGGTACCTCACTCGCGTGAAAAGTACTATTATCTGCTTCAGAAGCAAGTTTACGACACTTTGGGGCTTTATATAAGCATGTGGTATACAATGTTGTGCTTTATAAGCAAAAGTAACACTGTAGGGCTTTATATAAGCAAGTGTGAAACACTATGAAGCTTTATCAGAAGTGTACAACACTTTAAGAACAAGTGTTTTAAGCACTTCAAGGCTTTTCGAAAGCAAGTGTTCAACACTAAGGTGCGTTACAAGCACGTGTTAAACATTTAGGTGCTTTATAAGCAAGTACTGAACACGACGGTGCTTTATAAGCGAGTGCTGAACACGAAGGTGCTTTAAAAGCAAGTGTTTAGCGAAAATGTGCTTTAACTGTTGAACACTTAGGTGCATTATAAGCTAGTGTTTGACACTAATGTGCAATATAAGCTAGTGGCAACATTACGGTGCTTTGTGAGCAAGTGTTACACACTTATCTGCTCAATCGTTTATAAGCAAGTGTTGTGAACACGTTATTGCTTAAAAGCAAATGCTAGGCACCTTGTGCTGTGAAAGCAAGTGTTCGTGAACACACAAAGGGTATTAATAATACCAAGTGCTAGGCACTTAACGCTTATAATACTATAATACTTTAGCGTAAGTGAAATGCACTGTATGCTTAAGGAGCAAGTGTCGTAACACTAGGATGCTTAGAAAGCGTGTGTGCAAGGCACGGGTGCTCAAAGAGCAAGTGTCAAAATCACAGAAGGTTTAGACGCAAGTGCAAGCACTTATTGCGAGGCAAGCAAAATGAGAAGAAATGAAATCGATGCCTCCAATCATGTGCAAAATTCGTGGGTACGTTGGGTCCCACGAATTGGTGGGGGAGGGTGTAACGGGGTTTACACGAAGGTGTGTATTTTACATACACACCTGCCACACGAATGTAGTGTGGCTGTACCTTGGGTACAAAAAGCAGGTGATGTGATCGTTTCTGAAGTACGAAGGGTCGCATCGTGGCAGAGAGCCACGTGGTCACTATACTAATTTAAAGTATAGTGACTACGCATGTTGCATAATAATAACAGGCTATAGAGCCAGTAAATAGTGACTAGCACTAACTATAGAGTAGGTGCTTCTATATATAGTGCTAGAAGATAAACATAAATATAAATCAGTTTCAAACCTGCTCTGTAAGCCTTACAGCTTGAGCGTTCTATTCCTTTTCAGGAATCAGTATCTTTGATACTGGTCTCTCTGAGACTCGGTTGTTAGTACCGATAGGCACAAGCTTACGAGCTAGCCTAGGAGGGTTAAACACCCTAAGACTTAAAAGCTCTCTGAGCTTGTCTTCCTCTGCACATAGTGCATAAGTAGCTTTACTACAGTAGTTTGACTACTTCTTCTGCACATAGTGCATAAGCAGCGTAGCTACAGTAGCTCGGCTACACAACACCACAAACACTCGTTTTGAAAGTGAGACCGTCACTCGTCGCAACCTCAAGGGTAGTGACAAGACTATTGGAGCCCACGAAGCCATGAAAGAAGAGCGATAAATCGCCGACCGATTGAAAAGTGTTATGACGAAAAATTCAGCGCTGAGCAAACTAGTCGAGAACATGCAGAAGCGCCTCAAAATCATTTTGTTAACACAGAAAGCGTTAGGGAACGTAAAGTTACACTTCAAGACGATTTATAACAGAGCTAGGCCGATTGAGAAGGCCTTCTTGGTCGTGCTCGTGCTGGTGCTTGCTGTCTCTGGGGGGATGTATGCTGGGGCAAAGTTTTGAGCACCGATACGATAGAGAAGAACATTGGTTCACGACAATTCAATCGTTGTTCTGCACATGATTAACATTATCCTGAACTTGATCAACCAATCAGTAGAACAAGACGTCGAAAAGGACAGTACTAGCAAAAGTTTTCATTTGTTTGCTTACGAAAATGTACGAAAGATAAAAATTTGCTGACAAGCAATGCTACTGCCAAATCCATCTCATTCCTTATTGCACGTAAGAAACATTAGTCTTTAGGAAATTATATTCAAAACCATAAGAAAATAAAGAGATGAAATCTCAAACTCCAGTGTTTGTAATATGCAACTGAGTTGCGGCAGTTGGCAGTTCGTAGTTGGGAATCGATACGTGACAAAGCAGCATAATGGACTGCTGTCTGTAATTGATTGTATTTATTTTATACAATGAGTACGCCGAAATACCTGATGAAATTGATTGTATCGCGGATTATGTGCATATTCAGATCATTGACCTTTCTAACAACTTGCTGCATACTGCCCTCCAAATCTAAAATCACATTTCATTTCTAACGCGTCGTAGCGATTTTTTTGCTGCTTACGTGAGAATGAAAAAGACAAAATGGCGATGCCAAATTCAACACGTAGCTCTAGATACCATAGACATTTTACATTGCAGAGTACCCAGGAGTATATAAAAGCGAGTGGATTTACGAATTTATAACAGACCGCAAATGTAGACCATTTTGTATTCAGTAAAATGCTGTCTTGAACTAATCGCTTGGTTGATATGGTGTTTATGTTTGATAGAGTACGTAACATCAGCTACAGATTTTTGCGGAGATGTGGGCTGCAGACACAAGAAGATTAGAAAACCATGAAGTAGTCATAAGAAGTACGTACAGCTCGACTCGACGAACATTTTTTTTTAGTCACCAAGTACTGACTTACAAATAGACTTGCTAGAAAATGTAGTAGGTTGCTGGCACAAAGATAAGTGATGGAACGAGAGGTAAAGAAGGATATAACAAAGCAAAATCATACGAGGTATCGTACACCAATCGAGACACGTTGCTTAGATCGATCAGCTGACGAAAACGTTATCTTTCACGTAAAGAGAGACTACTATTTTTGCAGCCATGTATTGAAAAACAGTAGCAAGTTGTCATCTTTCAGACGTAGTAATTGCAGCAAAAAAGACTTCAATTTATCTCACTCATCACATCCAATATCGTTGGTACAGGAAAAAGCCAGTGAGCAAGCATCGTCTGCGACTCTTGGCCGTGAAACATAAAACAGCCGTTAGGCTACTATTGGAGTAAAACTAATTCGTCTACAGTTTATCACCGTTTGGCGCTAGACGTTATGACCGACACGATGGAAGCCATCGTCTCTGCTTGTTCTATCACAAACAGCTCGGCTGAATGCTATACTGCTTCGTGGTACCTTATTTGGGGTCAAGTACGTTACTGGCTGCGTATACAAGTGCCTATTGTTGTCCTCTCCATTGTCTACGAGTGGCTCGAGCTTGCCTCGCTCAAATACGTTGAGCGGCTCCGAAAATTTTGTGATTCTCCACTCACGAACGTTGTGGTGAGTTTTGTATGATTAACCCGTGCTATCAAAACACTGTCTTACTTGTTGTTGTGAAGAACTACCTTGTACAAATTGTCACGAGTTTCTATGTCTGCATCAATTGGAGTAAGTGGATTGCCACACAGCATTGACAGTTGAATATGCTACATATTCTTTCCTGGAAATAATAATTTTTGTTTGAATATGCAGTCGTACGTGGTGGTTTATTGAGTGTGATTTTCTCGTCGTGGTCGATTGAATCATTGTTCTTAATCGCTACGGGTGCAGGGTACGGGATTCGCTGGCTAGCGGCTAAAAACAAGTGCGTGTCATACTGTGTTTCTTATTGATGAATTTCTGATTACTTAGTCAACCTATCCATGATTGACCTGCAGAGTAACGTTCGTGCTGCAGCTGCACAATTTGTTCGACTTGCTGTCGGTAGTGGCTCATTTTGCGATTTCATTTCAGACGATTGTGGCGGGGAACAAACACCTTCGATCGTGGTTGGATTTTGGCTTTATTCGGTCCTATGTAGGATATGTGGTCGTGGATCATTTGTTCACGCGATACCCAAACAAAACATTCTTCTCGCAAGTTCTGCTTATGGTATTCAAGACATTTTGTCTTGTCTTCTTTTTTGCTGCCATGCTCTTCTCACTCGAACAGCTTGGAGAGTTACCACATACCAGCAGTTTTCTACTTCATGTGTATGAATGCAGCAATGAGGACAGAACGGAGACGATTCTTAGTGCGACAAATGAAGGCACGAACGAGTATTCGAACTGTAACGAAACGTGGAGCTTTTTCTCTTCCATATACTTCATGTTTGTGACGGTATCAACTGTGGGTTACGGTGATTTCTCGCCTCAAACGGTGCTAGGACAGCTTACAGTTTGTATGATTATTGTGTTTGGTATTTACACGTTTGCAAACGAGTCGGCTGCTTTCATGAATCTTTATGGAGACCAACGCGGAACATTAGTAAAGTACAAGATTTCGAGGAATACAGTGCACGTGATTGTGACAGGTAATCCGTCCGTTTCGCAGACGAAAGACTTTATTCGCGAGTTTTTTTCACCCCGATCACGAGGATGCATTCCAATGCCATGAGAGCGACAATCAAGGACATAAGACAGCTACTGGTCAGAGTTTTGCTGCATCCTCTATTTTGCGTCCTGAAAGCTTATGTAGAAACGATACCTACACTGCCATGGAGGAAGGAAAAGCAATTGGAAAGAATGACAATAAAAAGCGCAATACTAAGCCACTTGTTTCAAGATGGATACATCGTGGCGGAAGCTTGATTCGAGAAACACATATTGTAGTGCTCATGCAGTATGATAAAGCAGGAAAAAATGCTTCATACCAGCGAAAGGTGAAAAAATATGTGGAGCAGAACCCTCTATATCATAAGCGCGTGTTTCTTGTACACGGGTCTCCTTTAATAGAAACGGACTTGAAGAATGCACAGCTTGATCGAGCAATGGCTGTATTCTTTCTTCCCAACAAATATGCCGACGATGGAAACAAGGAAGATGCAGCTACGGTGCTGCGTGTTCTATCGGTGTTTCAGCACAAACAAGAACACACGCAGTTATTTGCCATGCTGACCAACTCCGACAACCGTACGCTTCTCGAGGCCGCAGGGATAAGCAAGGAAAATTTGGTTTGTGCCGATGAAATTCGACTGGGCTTAATGGGCCTCAGTTGCCGCTGCCCAGGTCTCTCCACCGTCGTTTCAAATTTGATTACAAGTCGGAGCGGAGATTTTTCTGATGTTGCTCCGAATAAGGCTGACCTGCTGAAACCCTGGGTGTCCGAGTACATATCTGGCGCTGCCAATGAGATCTACTCGTGCTGCCTGACGACGCATTTCCATGGCATGAATTTCATTCAGGCAACAGTGCTTATCCACCGTCAGTCGAATGGTTTGGTACTTCTGATCGCGGTTGAGTCGGATGGCAAGATTGCGTTCAATCCTGGTCGCTGGTATCTACTTGCACCAAGCACAACGGCCTATCTGATAGCTGAATCCATTTCTTCTCTCAAGCCTTTTGCCGGTACACCAACAATAAGCAGTATTGCCGCCTTGTCCTTGAACGAGGCATTTGTACATAGTCGCGGTAACTTGTTGAGCCGAGTGCGTCAAGCGCAACACACTGTTGAAAGAAGAATTCCCAAGGAAATTCGAGAGCACATTATGCGTTGTGCCGCTAATGATTATCCATCTCGGATCCCGACTTCACCATCTCGAGAAGTGCTTGCTGGTGGTGGCCACATTGTCGTTTGCTGTAATATTGGCAACGAGAGTGGAGGACAGCGGTCCGTGTCTCGTTTAGTGAATTTTTTGCGACCGGTTCGAGCTCCACATATTGAGCGGATTGTCCCCGTCATTATTGTAGACGCTGGCACTTTTGACACTGTGGCATGGCTTCAGCTGGAAAACTTCGGTGAGGTGTATCATGTGCATGGATCACCTCAGAACCACCATGTTCTTTCTGCTGCTGGTATTTATACAGCCTCTTCGATTGTCGTGCTGGCGCAAGGCAATGAAGCGGGATATGATGATTCGAAGGCAATTTTTAACGCCATCTTGATAAACACTGCACTGCAGTGCAACCAGATCTTCACAATTATTGAGCTTCGAGATGTCAACAACAACCGGTTCTTGGACCCCATATCTGGTTTCAGTTTATCGCGCAATTTCTATAGGCGCGGACTTTTGGAGGCCATCGATGACGAATACGATACCAAATCGAGATTTTTTAGCTACCATGGTCCACTGTTGTCTACATTGCGCGAGGATGTCCAATGTACACGAACTTCGACTGTTATGGCAAAAAGGAATTGGGTCCAGCGCAAATTTTTGGTGGCAAAGTACGCTTGTGCCGCAGTGCAGACATTTTTTCTTGGTAGTTTGAAAACCGCAGCACAACAAGTAAGTACGTACGGAGCCGAATCAGACAGCGCAACAATCGAGAAGCTCTTTAACGGTGACAATAGCGAGACCTTTTTCCAAGAGCGGTTCATGAATGGCGCGTTGTTTCCCTCTTCTGTTGCGGACGACTTGCTGATTCAAAGTTTCTTTAATCCGTCGCTGAATACGTTTATTCGGAAAATACTTGATGGCAAAAGCTGCTTCGTACTATATGATGTCCCGAAAGAACTTCGTGGACGGCAACTGTTGTATGGAGAGCTCTTTGAATACATGACGTCGGGAGTGGCACACGCGCTTCCGATCGGTTTACTGCGGGCAAAAGGTGGACCTGGAGGTGCTCCGTACCCTTACGTATACACATGTCCGTCCGCCGATAAGGTCGTGTACGCGGGCGACAAGATTTTCGTGTTAATTAATGTTATGGCTATTAACCTTCTTGCAGACAAGCTGCAACGTTGCTTCCGAAACCGCACCAAGCCGTCTACAACTTTGGCAGACTTGGTAGATACGATTAGTTGGCCATTGCAATGACTGTAGACAATATTGGGGAAGTAAAAACGAGAGTTTTGGCTCCTTATGCTCGTGATTGTTTTTTGGATTGACGTTGAGATTGAAGGTGTTGTCTGAAATTTGCGTCAGAACAGGTCTATATCTGAAAACAGAACAAATAACATCTTGAAAAGCAATGGATTGGTCACTAGCAGTAGCTGTCCGTACCTAACAGTACACTACCAACACTATTAACACTCTCAGCTAAACTTGGCTACAGCATACTTTACTTTGTTTGCTACTTCTTCTAACACGCCTTCCTCCAAAGAAACCTTTTCAGTATGTGCTCCTTAGTCAGGCCAACCATCTCATTAAGCATCTACAAAACGGTCGCTGGCGAATGGTTTTATCATCACGTCTGACGGCTATCGTCCGTATTGACCTTCCAAAGCTTTACTGTTTACCTAAACACTTGTCCTCACACGTAATGCCAGGGTACCCGCGTCCTCCGACTCCATAAAAATGTTACGTACACCTTGTCTTTTTCCATGCATGCCTAGCATCCTGCTACGTATTCCGCTTCCACCATCGACTGCGCTACAATTTTTGGCAACAAACGGCCTACGCAATCTCGTCTCCTACCAGAGAGTCCTACGCAATCGCGTCTCCTACCAGAGAGTCCTTAACACTCTCTCGTTTTTTGGTCAGTAGTATCTTAAACGAGCCAAAATATCTATCAATACTCAATGAAAATTCTATGATCCGTCTCCGCGTCCATCTAATGGACAATGCCTTGACTCTTTGTACCAATCAGATACCTCAATACGCATTGACCACGCCACTATGCTGTTGTGTCGGGTTTTGCGCTAAGCGGCCAAGCTGGCTAGCGACGTAAGCTAAATTCGACCTTGCACAAGTGGTCAGATGCATCAAAATTCCAATAAGTTCACGATATGGAAAATGTTTCCCAGAGCTCAAATTTGCTTGCTCCAAGCTGTAACCGTGTCGCTTACTGTAATTTTATCTTTGCCTCCACTAAGATCCGGATAGGTTGTGCATTACTGAAAGTTTGAAACGCTCAATGACATGCTAGCAGTATCAAAAATCTTAGATATCCTGAAAGAACAGGGCAAGTGTGTATGTTGTATAGACTCCTTTGTGTAACCCCGTTACACTTAGACTGTTGCACAGGGGCTTAATGCGTCCCACAAACCAAATTAGGCAGGGTCACGGTAGCGATAATCGTCACGCACGGAGACAACAGCGCAGTCGATGCGGTTCTAGATGCACAGTTGTTTTCTTCAGCAGCTTGACAGTGGTGCGTCCGTGCGACATTCATCCACTTTCAGCTCGTTGCCTTTGCACACCTGATCATACATGAACTTAGCCACCTCGTGACGGGCATCACCGGCATCCTCAATGGCGCTAGTATTCACCTAACCTTTGAACATCCTCAATGACGCTTGTTTCACGCTAATCTCATTTGGTTTTGTAATACCCATCGTCGCAGATCCAAACATGAAAAAGGTGAGGAAGGTAGACCAAATTCATAGATTTTTACAGCGGCTCAGTGCAGTGACACAGCAAAGTATCGCCACTAACATATACAATGAATAGTAAAACAACCATTTTTTTGATTCCCCAAGAATACAAAACATTAAGTAGTATGCCTTCTATGAAAGAAATTGCGGCTTATAATCGTGCAAATAGCGAGCACCACGACGTACCGACTTCCACAATTTTCACAAAATTCAGGAAACGCAGCGAGATACTTGTAATCTCAGACACGTTGAAGAAAAAGTATGAACGTCAGTCAGCAATGCGAGGCCCCTTAGGTTACATTGCCAAATCAATGTCAACCGACCAATGATACCATTGCGGAGGGTCCAGCCTCCGTTAAAGAGCTTGTCGCCGCACTGCAATGGCTCAGCGTAAAAGCAACTGGATTTACTCACACGCCTCTGTCTTGTACTTGACATCCCAAGACTCGATACATAGAGGTAATACAGCACGATACCTACGAGTTCAGTGAGTACAGCAATCACAAAGATGACGTGCCAGAATCGATGAATGAATCGTCCCTTCATTTGTACACGCAGGCATTAGGCAGGTCGCGCTTTAAACCTTTTCAGAACTTGCCGATATGACGGTAAATTGAAGTGCATCGAACCACATAGTAAAGTCCTGGTCCGTCGCGGAACATGTAAATCACGTGTCAATGACAATACCTCTTATCTGTGAATCAAGGCATTTACGTTGTCCAAGCTAAAATTATCACGTAGGTCAACGTCACACACGACCACTTCATCAATGCGTAAATTAGAATGCTTCTAGCAGTCGACATCAAATGGAAGTCGTACATTTGAGCGCCTTCAAGGGAACATAGCGCTATTGCCACTTCTTGGTCACAGGATCTTTCACTAATGACTTCACTGCTTGTGTATTAAACTGCGGACGCACTGAGATTTTGCCCATATTCCAGCGCCCGTGGGCTTTGTGGCTTCGCTAATACTTGTGTGTGCATCCACTGTAGACTGTGACAGAAGATACGTACCGGGGAGACAGGTGACAAAAGTTGTCGGTAACATTTGACGTCTGAAAAAGGTGTCTTTCGTTTTGGAGTGAGAGTATCAAAATCGCGATTGGCCAGGACTCTAAATGACCGGTTTATGTCTTGACTCGGTGATGCTTGAAGCAAATTGAGTCAGCTCAAAGAAGAAGATAATAATGGGTCCAAATTGCCGATTCCAGTAGAATTTCATCGAGTAAAATAACCTTTTTCTTCTACTTTCAATGATGGCAGCACGTTTTGAAAAAGGAGTTTGCCGCGTGGGACCGGAGCTCGCGCTGAGTAAATGGTATTGTGACTTCGGGCGTATTCAAAAGTTAAGAAGTTGTTACGAGGAAGAAGCGATCGAGCTGCCTCTCTCCAACGGATGGTCTGCGATCGCCACCTTACGATTCGCGCGTTGCGCCGCCTCCTGTGAAGCGCGCGCAGTGGAGAACAAATTTCCCTTCTTTTTACCTTGGCGCCAAAATTGGGACTCCGGCCAAGGTTGAAGGCCCGTCGATACTGGTCTTGTAGCTCGTCCGTCGTCCTTCACCCGCGAATTGATAAGTGATATAAACAGCGTCATCGCATGAAAGCGCAAACGAGTTATATAAATGTAAACGAATTGCATTCATTACACATCAGGGATAGCGAATTAGAAGGAGAAAGACAAACTCGATTACCCTATCGCTAAGGTATGGAGAGCGCTATCTTACTATTTGTCTGAGAATGAAATGGTGATGAAGCAAATTCGCTGTGCATGCCATCACAATTGATTGAAAAAATGTGCCATTAAGCGCACATTGAGCTTACATTCAGTTAGAGAAGACCCTGCTTTAGCTTAATATCTGGCGTAGGTACCCTCAGATACAAAGGTGCCCGCCTGCATGGAATACAGGTAGTGGGCCGACTGAAGGGTTATAAAATCCTTCGGGTGGAGTAGCCTGAAGAAATCCATGAAATTACCGTTGAAGGTCTTCGTTATGTCCTTCGCAACGAACGTGACGAACTGGTACCCAGCACCGTCATATCTATACTTTCGCTCAAAGTCGACATCAGCAACCGTCACCTCATCGAAAGTCGTATCCCCTTGACGTTACTAGGCGTAATACCACGCAGCGCAGCGACCCATACATTGAGATTAAAAGTGGTCGCGCGGGTACCGTCGCTGTAGCAAAAAGGGAGTATTCGACATACCCCATAACGTTTGAAGTATGCGCGTACTCATACATTAGACTTGTATCAATTTATTTGACATTGCGAAGCGAGGCGCTTTTAAAGTTGGATATGGCGTACGCAGACGATCCGATCTCCGGAATCTCGCTACCTTCCCCTGTGAAGCGGGCCCACGAAGTAACCTTATTGTCGGAGACATCAGTGACGGCGGTGCACAGAGAAACCGCCTTCGAACTCGAGAGGCTGTTAATAATACTATAGCTGCCCACAACAGTTTTGCTGTTTGGGCTACAGACTTCATTGAGACTTTCGGCATTAGGCGCGACGAGATCAGGGTTTTGAGCAGTGGTCAGAGCAGCGGTCAGGGCAGCGACTTTCATAATCGTGGGATTCTTGATAAGTCTTGGGGGTTTAAAGCAGATAGGTAAGTGACGAAGATAAAACGAGTTGGTTGACCTAATTCGAACTACTTACTGATATCCAATTGTTAGTCCGAAAATATAAACAGACGTTGCGTATATTCAAAACACCCTAACCTAGTAACTTCCTCTGCATATAGTACAAAAGTAGCTTTGCTACAGTAGCTTGGCTACATCCTCTGCACATAGTGCATTCGTAGCGTGGCTACGGTAGCTCGGCTACATGGTTGCAAGCTATATGCGCTTGGCTGATACTATGATGGAAAGCAAGTCTAGAGTTGAGTACATTAAGGGAATTCCACTCATCTCCAGGTGTATAACTTACCGAAGGATCATCCCAGATGTTGATCATTCTGTTCAGCGTCATGTCGCCTGTAGACAAGGCTACGTAATTGTCGCAACCATGTATCTTTCTTTGAGCCGACATGGGAAATCCCGCGTCAGTGTCTCGCGCGACTTTTAAATGCAATCAAGCCTTTCTGTTCCCGACAGCACATCGTGACAAGCTTAGTCAACGTACTATGGATGCTAATATCAATATACTACTTGTGTAACGGTGTTTACACGAAGGTGTGTGTTTTACATACACACCTGCCACACGAATGTAGTGTGGCTGTACCTTGGGTACAAAAAGTAGGTGATGTGATCGTTTCTGAAGTACGAAGGGTCGCATCGTGGCAGAGAGCCACGTGGTCACTATACTAATTTAAAGTATAGTGACTATGCATGTTGCATAATAATAACAGGCTATAGAGCCAGTAAATAGTGACTAGCACTAACTATAGAGTAGGTGCTTCTATATATAGTGCTAGAAGATAAACATAAATATAAATCAGTCTCAAACCTGCTCTGTAAGCCTTACAGCTTGAGCGTTCTATTCCTTTTCAGGAATCAGT